CCCCCATTATCTGCCAACTGAAATTTTTCTCCTCTCAGGAGCAGTTCAAACCCCCTGTTCCTGATGCCTTCAGGAAGGATTGATGGCTCCTACATGAAAGTCTGGTCTGTCACCCCCCCCAAACACCGTACATTTCAGGGCATCTCTGGATGGTGTCCTAATTCTGTGCACAGGTATCCAGGGCCTGCTGGAGCTGGGGATACAGCAGTGGACATCACAGATGGGAATCCCTAAATTCCAATGTCCCACAGAACATGGCCTGGTGATCAAGGGACATTTGCTGAATTGCTTGAACGGCAGCAGAGACGACTGACAGGCGGGACAGACAAGGGCCATGGTGGGTAAGGGAAGGTGGGAGACCGGCCAGGGCGGGAGCTGGCCCTCCATCCCTCCTAACCCAGGATATCACGAAGTGTCTTAGGGCCTCACCCTCTGCCAGCCACCTCTTCTCCCACCCCAACTACCACATACCCACTCCTGTGTCCCACTCTGTATGTGAGGAAAGTCCGGGCCTCAGGCCACATACCTGAGCTCCAGACAGCCCAGCTGCAGGGCCATACCCTCGCTGACCTTGCTGGCGTAGCGCTGCATGTAGTCGCTCCGGAGCTGGCGGGCAGGAAGGCCAAGGTCAGGCTCACGCCGTCTCCCCCACTTCCCTGGGGGGGGCTCTCACCACCCCACCACTCACAGGCAGCACCGTGGGGGCGGGGGCTCCCTCTCAGCTCTGCCTCTGCCTCCTGCCTCCCTCTAGAACCCTGGGAGGGCAGCTCACGACTCCACAGGCCAAGGCCTGGGGCATTGAGCAGGTTTCCTACATGTTCCCTCCCAGCTCCATGAGGCAGGAGGTTCAGATTTCCCTTCCCCACAACCCCCATTTTGGAGAGAAGAAAACAGATCTTGGGAGTAGCTGGTAATTTATCCAAAGCCCTGTTCATAAGTAGTGATAGACGTTATCTACCATCCAAAATAAATCTGGCTTGGTCCCCTAGCAACCCAGGAGGGAGATATGAGGGGGTCTTCAGAAAGTTCATGGAAAGATTTGCGTTATTTTTTTTTTTCTTGCTGCTGGCTGGTATGGGGATCCAAACCAGTGACCTTGGTATTATAAGGCTGTGCTCTAATGAGCTGAGCTCACCAGCCAGCCTTCCAGGAACTTCTTGAAGTGCTCTCATACAGGAGGGAGCTAAGACCAGACAGAATATAACACTGGCGGCTCACTCTGTGCCCTCCACATGCAGTACATCCAGTGTGAGTTGCAGAGGCTCCAAGCAGCTCATGAGAGCCACTTATTCAATTTTCAGAAGTTTTGTAAGCTTGTGGATATCACATCAGTAGCTTGAAATAGACCATGGTGGGAGTATTTACACCATGGGAATTGGCAAGTGCTACGAATCAGGGATTTGTTTCTTCAGAGAACCAATTTACCAGCACATTGCCAGTGATGCTGTTTGGTCCTTGCAACAGCTCTATAAAGTAAGTGTTATTTCAATGTTCATTTTACAGAAGAGGAAACAACTTCATGCAGGTAAATGAAGTCCCCAGGAATACCAGGTTAGAAATCAGAGCTGGGCTAGAGATCCCATGTGTCGGGCTGCAGGGCCCTATGCTAAGTGCCCAAGGCTTCTCTTTGGCTTCTCTTCTGGCTTCACTAGTCAGGCCTCCTGGGCCACCTGGCCAGGCTGAGAGGAGCCGGGAGCATCTGGGGCAGGTGAGCCAGCACTTAAGTAGCTAAGAGAGGATCAGGGCTGGGGCCTCTGGCAATGGACCTAGAAATGTCTTCAAGAGAAGTATCCTAGACTGGCCTCCAAAATCTGGGCTTTGTCTTTCCATCTCCCTGGGATAGGATGGATAGTACTTGGCATTTAAGGAGCTGTGTGATCCTAGAGGCAGGAGGCTAAAGCACTTTTCACCTGTTGGTAAAAGTAAAGCAGCGTGGTCCTGTCCTCTTTCAGGCTCTCCATAAAGTCTTCCGGCAAGTAGCGGATTTGAAGGTCGTACCTGCGACGGGATATTCAGACTCTCTGTTTGACACAGGGAAGCTGGAATCTACAGGAGGCAGTGGGACCCACCAAAGCAGAAGCAGCCACCCCCCCCAGCATGCCCACGAGGCTGCTGGCTTCCCATTCAAGACCTGTTTCTTCTTTCCCTCCTCTGTGGCCACCAGGCAGTGCCAGGGCCAGCCCTGTCTCATCTCTTCTCCCTCACAGCAATGTTGCTTTCAGGTTCACAGACAGCCCTTGGCCTGGGCTCCCTTTCGTCCCCACCTTTCTGTTTCCCCATCACCATGGCACCATCAGCACCCTGTCTGGGGACATTCCTAGACCTCTGCCTTGAGATGGAGAGAAGCTGTGAGCCCATGTTAAGCCTCAGAAAATACATCCATCGAATGCTATAGAAAGACTAAGCCTAGAATGCCGCTCAGGTGATCTAGAAGATTCTGAGGTGGGGGCGTGCTTTCAGGGAGGAGCTCCCAGGACCTTCCCCCGCCACGTTTGCCTCCCCCATTCCTACCTCCACTCGGCCTCCACGTGTAAACATTCATACTTGTCCTGCACCTCGCCCACCGTCATCAGCGGGTGCAGCCAGTGGATCTCATCCGACTTCATGTGCTTCAGCCTCAGCCCATAGCACTCAGCCAGCTGGATGTTGGGCCCGATCCGCCCACTCAGCAGGATGGAGGTGATGATATCCTGCAGAGGAGAGGAGGGGTGGGACTCAGGGGCCTCCTTCTGGGCTCCCACAGTCCTTATGTAGCCCCCCAGAAGGGCGATTCTCTAGAGTCTTAACGTTTTATTCACCTAAGATTCTCTAGCACTTAGTGCAAGGCCTGGTGCACAGTAGGCTCTGTCTGATGAAATGAGACAGAGAAGAGCAGACTGAGGGGACAGCAGCAGCGAGGGGAAACGCAGAGATGCAGAGAGCACACTTCTGTGCTTCTACACTGCATTCCAATCAAACCGGTTAACAGCTACTGAGCATCCGCCCTGTGAAAAGCACCTTCCGAGTGGTTTCCAAGTCAGCCAGCATTCCTGAGTGTCTGGACCAGGCGCTGGGAGGCGTTTTGCACACATTATTTCATCAAATCCGCACAACACAGGGAAGCAGGTGTTACATCCCTGGTTGTCTGATGAAGAAACTGATGTGGATCCAGCTCATGGACCTAAGTTGGGATTCTGGATCCTGGACCACTGGACTCTGAGAGTTTCTACTAGGCCTGGCTGCTTCGTGGGGCTGGACAACACACATGGGCAAGACTCCCATCAAAGGATTAAGTGCCACCGTCCCTGCACAAGAAGCACAGTCATGGGAAACAGCGCCCACAAGAAGTCAGGTGCCCTCCTGTTCCTGCCTTCTTGCTAACCAGGAGTTTAAATAGGGTGCCTGCCCCACAGCCCGATGCCAGCGCTTCCCGGCCTGGAGCCAGAGCTGGATGCACCGGAGACCCAATCGGGCAGTGCCTGGAAGCTCATCTAGAAAGCCGTGCCTAGTTCTGAAATCACTGTGGTGCCATTTTAACTCAGGTTTCTCATGTGGTTCCACATATAATTGATGAGTTGAGCCCACTCCTGAACAGAACAGAGAGTACCCTCAGATGAAAATTTAAAAATTCATGGGCATTGACCTCTCTCTGTTGGATATCTTTGCAACGTGCATACCACCAAGCCGACAGCAGCCTAAAGACTAAACAATGCAGAACAGGCTGCTGTCTGGCCGGGAAGAGGAGGGCACTCTATTTAGATTTTATGGTTTTTTTTTTTTAACATGCCTCCCAAGATGTTTAATTTAGTAAATCAAATGTAATCAATTCCTTAACTGGAACAAAAAGAAGAAGGTATACCAGTTTTCTTAGAAGAAAATCTGTTTCTTCCTGTCTCTACTAGGAAAATGTCAAACTAATATTTAAATAATCAGGTTTGAACGAATGCCCAGTTACTCATCCACTGGGCACCCACGTGTCCCAGTCCAGCTGCCTCCTGCCAGCCCTCTTGGATTTCATGGAGTTGTGAAGCTGGAAGCCCCTCAGCCTGAAAAATCCCTTGCCCATTAGAAAAGAAAATGCCCATCAGAGATGTTGACTCCTGCTCCATGAGACAGATAAGGAAACTGAGGCACAGAATGCACATGTTAGCAGTTGTTAATCAGTGCTAGAATCAGAATGGAGGCCCCAGGATGGGGAGGAAGGCTGTGATCAATGGCACCTCCACAGCGAGGGGACATAGGAGAGAGTTCAAGGCTGTGACGGGGACGATTCTGTCCTTGTATCACGCATTTCTCCTGCCACTGACCTTCTGCCTGCTCTGTCCACATGGTCATCCTGTCATATTGCCAGAGCCCCCATGTCACTCCTGAGCCCCACCTGCAGGCTCCACCTCTGGTGCTTTTAAACTTAGAGCTTTCCTCAGAACCCACTGAAATCTACTGGCCCAATGTGTAATTTCCTCAGGGCTAGAACTCCTGCGCTACTTATTATTGAAAATTGCAAATACATACAAAGTGCGCAGAAGAGTATAATAACCCCCTGTGCACATCACGCAGCTTCAGCGGTTACCAGCGTTCTGCCTTTCTTGTTTCCTCTACGCTACCACCTACTCCCCGACTGTGACTCAACGGTTATTATTGTTGTACAGCTCTTCTTTTAAGGTAAAATTTATATACATTAAAATGCACAAATTTTAGCTATTCGGTTTTGACACATGGATACACCTGTGTAACCCACACACCAATTAAGACATAGAACTTTCTAGATCCCCAGAAAATTCCCCCATATCCCTTCTCAGTTAACGCTCATGGCCCACTCGCACCCCCACTCCAGGCAACCATCCCCCCACCCCAAACTGTTTTGCCTGTTCTAGAACTTCATATACATGAAATCTTTTAGTATATACTTTTTTGTGTCCAGCTTTTATCACTCAACGTAATGTGTGAGACTCATCCGTGTTGCTGTGTATGTTAGGAATTTGCTCCTTTTTATTTTGGGGTAATATTCTACTTTACAAACAATAATATTCAGTTCCTTGCTGCTGGACACCTGGGCTATTTTTAATTTACAGCTATTGTGAATTAAATTACTATGAATCTTAATGTGTACACATATTTTTGTGTGTATGTTATCACTTCTTTTGGATAAACACTGAGGAAAGGGAAAGTACTCAAAATACGGAGAGGTGAAGGCTGGAGAGGACCCCAAGGTGAGGGACTGGAATTGCAAGTATTGATGTCACTCATGGTTTCATAGATAGAGAGATAGAGATAGAGAAATGGAGAGAGAGAGAGAGAGAGAGAGAGAGAGAGATTGAGCTTTGTTTACTGAAAGGGCTCAGGAATTACTGAGTCAAAGGTAGATATATATTTGACTTTATAAGAAACTGCCAAGATTATTCCATTTTCTATTTCCACTGTGACATGAGATTTCTGTTACACTTCTGTTACATATTTTCACTAATATTTGGTGCTGTCAGCATTTTTTATATTAGCCATTTTAGTGGGTGTATACAGTGGTATCTCACTGTGCTTTTATTTTTATTATTTATTTTTTGGCAGCTGGCCAGTATGGGGATCTGAACCTGTGATCCTGGTGTTGTAAGGCTGCACCCCAACCAGCTGAACTGACTGGCCAGCCCTCGTGGTGCTTTTCATTTGCATCTCCCTCATGACTAAGGATATTGAACATGTTTGATCTGATTATTGGCCATTGATATACCTTCCTTGGTGAAGTATTAGTTCAAAACTTTTGCTTATTTTTTTCTGTTGTATTTTTATTATTGAGTTTAAGGAGATCTTTATACATTCTAGATAAAAGTGCTTTGTATGTTTCATGAATATTTTATCCAGGTCCGTGGTGTGCCTTATTTGTTTCCATATCAGTGTCTTTTGATAGATGCTAATTTATCAATATTTTCTTTTATGGCTAATGATTTCTGCATCCTAGGAAATCTTTGCCTTCCCCTAGGTCGTGAAGATATTCTATGTTTTCTCTTATAAGCCTCACAGTTTTAAATTTTACTTTTAGGTCT